GTGTTAGCCAGGATGGTCTCGATCTCCTGACCTCGTGATCCGCCCGTCTCGGCCTCCCAAAGTGCTGGGATTACAGGCTTGAGCCACCGCGCCCGGCCCCAAATTTCTTGAGGGGAAAAGCAGCAGAAGCTGGTGGGAGGAGCTGCCTGGGGCAACTACTTCTGTGTGGTAGGACGGGGAAACGTGGCCGCAGGGAGGCAGCACCTGCTTTTGGAGATGTCCCTCCCACATGGGAGGCCAGGGAACAACCCAAGAGGCAGGGCACTCTGTACAGGAGACAAGGGGACCAACCTGTGCAAGCAACAGCGGCCAACACCCAGGCCTGGCCATCATACACAGGTCGGCCTCGGCCGGTGAGCCACTGCCGCAGGATGGGCACGCTGCCCCGGCGCTTGTTCAGCAAGGCCCCTTCCTGGGTGGTCTGGGTCTGCGGGGTGGGCAGGACCCTCTTCTCCTTGAGATAATGCAGCTGTTTGGGGAAATGTGTGGATGTCAGTATGAGACCCTCGGGCAGGACAGCTTCCAGGGCATGGGTAAGGAGGGCTCATCGCAGTACTCCAACCGTGGTGAACAGATCCCCAGCATCAGAGCCACCTGGTACTGGTTAAACCTGCATGCTCCTGGGCTCCATCCTAGGCCCCTGGGCCATAGCCCTAGGGCTGGAGCCCAGGACTGCCCTTCTTAACAAGTCCTCTGGCTGGGGGCTGGTTTCACCTTTAGTCCTCCACCCTCGTTTGAGGTGGTTTGCACCTGGGTCCTGGAGGCCACTTATCCCAAGCTTCTTTCAACTCACAGTCTGGCCTGGACCCTCACCACCTTTTCAGAGGGGACTTCGGTGGCAAAGAGGGAATGGTGAACACAGGACTCCTCTGAGAGGATTTTTAGGGACAAGGGAAAGCACCAAGTTACCATCATGGTCTGCATATTCTTCTGAACAATTTAGAAATGTAAAAGAAGTCCCTTTGATCACTGCAGCAGCAAGCACTGGGTATGATGGGCCCTACCGGCTCCTTCCCGTGGACCTAAGCTCCAGGCTGGGACTGGGTGTGGGGCGGGAAAGGAGGCTTAGTCTTCTGCGGGCTTGCGTCCTGAGGGAGGACACATTTCTTTGCTTTTCTCCCCCCTGTGGATGCTATTGCCTGTCTTCTTCTCCTCCTCAGACCCTTCTGTCGGAACTGTCCCCACACCCTGGGAGGAGGGGGCCATTTGTGATTTGGGGGTTTCTGAGGCCACGGTGGTGGGGCAGTTCTCTCAGAGGGCTCTTGTCTCACCCCCGCCCTATTGTCGTTCCCCAGCCTCTCACTTACCGAGGCACCCAACACATGGGCCACGTGCACTGGCTGGCTCCACTTCTCTACCTGCTTGTCCTTGCTCAGCAAGCGCAGGCTGAGGTCGATGACATCCCCCTCGAACTGTTAAGGACCACACAGGGCCATGATGAAGGGTCCTCAGGTCAGGCACTCATCCCGCAGGACAGCCTCGTTATCTCGTCCTTCTCCCAGACCCGCACTCCACACCTGCCTCCCTTGCCTCATCTCTCTGAGGAGCTCTGGCTCCCTCCCCCGACCTCTCAATGTGACCCAGGTTCCTTTTCCCAGGCATCTAGTCCTTCGCCTATTCTATTGTCTGACTCCCGGTAGGGTGTAAGCTCTCAGGGACCCGTGCTGTACCATTTCATTTTGTTGCATTGCATTCTGTTTCCAGTTAGTGAACCCCGACAGCCCTGAACCTGGAGTGGAGGATACTCCCCCTGTTCCTGAGGAGCCCACGGTTTAGGACTGGAGATGGACCCACAGCGCAGCCCCTTAGATTACAGAGCACAGCAGCATGGCCAGGTCTCTTGTAGAGATGCAGGCACAGAGCAGCACCGTGGAGAGGTTCCCTCTGCCTTCGGGGGTTGGGGGAGGCTTCGAGAAGGTCTTGAGAGATGGGTGGGAGCTTGCCAGGAGATAAGGGTGGGGAGCCCTTCCTGGCGGAGGGAACTTTCAGCTTGTTGCTCTGAGGATGGTGAGCAGTTGGAACGTGGGGTGGTTCATGGGGGAAGCAGAGCACGGGCCTGGCTGGAAGGGCTGTGGAGGTTGGCCTAGAGGGATTTGGTCTTTATCTCAAAGACAGTGGGGATGTAACTGAGGCTTGATTTGCCACAGCTTTAAGGAAAAGAATTCTGGTAGCTCCAGAGGATGTTCTGATGTGGCCCAGAGGAAGGGGGGCGGGGCACCACAAGGCTGAAACGGGCTAAATAAATGGTCTCATGACCAGGGGTTTTTGGACCTACCAGCTCTGTCTAGCCTGAACATGCAAGGTTATGGGACAGTCACTCCACACACTCCTCCCCTAGAGGGCCCTAGTACCTGGCCAAAGTCCCAGGGCTCTGCCTGGATGCAGTCAGCTGTGCCCAGGTAGATGAGACCATTCTGGTTCAACAAGTACTCTGTGCGCTGAGCCTCATTCTTCAGGAACACGGCATCCTCTGGCGAGAGGTGGGTAGGGATGAGGGCCTGTGGGGTGCCAGGTCCACCCTCCACATCCAGGCCTCTGTTCTCCCTGCCGAGATTAGGCTTGGCTGCAGGCCACCCCGTCAGCTCTGGGCCTAATGAAGACTGAGGAGGAAGTCCCTCTTTCACTGCCCCCACTGGGACCCAGCCCAGAGTCCCTGGGTCAATCAGCGTGTGGCCCTTATGGTCAGCCAGGAAGACAAGAACAACCTTAAAAAGCTTGGCTGGCCAGGTGCAGTGGCTCACACCTATAATCCCAGCCCTTTGGGAGGCCAAAGCAGGAGGACAGTTTGAGACCAGGAGTTTGAGACCAGCCTGGGCGACACAGCAAGACCCTGTCTCTACAAAAAATAAAAACAGCCAGATGTGGTGGTGCGCATTTGTAGTCCTAGCTATTTAGGAGGCTGCGGCGGGAGGAAACTTGAGCCCAGGAGTTTGAGGTTGCAGTGAGCTATGATGATGCCACTGCACTCCAGCCTGGGTGACAGAGTGAGAGACTTTCTCTTAAAACAAATGAAAATCAGCCAAGCGTGGTGGCTCACGCCTCTAATCCCAGCACTTTGGGAGGCTGAGGCAGGTGGATCACCTGAGGTCAGGAGTTCAAGACCAGCCTGACCAATGTGGTGAAACCCTGTCTCTATTGAGAATACAAAAAATGAGCCATGTGTCACAGTGCACGCCTGTAATCCCAGATACTCGGGAGGCTGAGGCAGGAGAATCTCTTGAACCCGGGAGGCGGAGGTTGCAGTGAGCTGAGATCGTGCCATTGCACTCCAGCGTGGGCAACAAGAGCAAAACTCCCTCTCAAAAAAAAAAAAAAAAGAAAATCCTGGTTGTTCACAGCCAGAACACTATCGTCCCTGGATAAATTGGCAACAGGCCAGGGAGCTTCCAAGTGGCTTGTATGTCTTTCCCATAAGTTCAATTTGTGACGAAAAACCAGGTGTTTCAGAAAAAAGACAATTAAGCATAGGCTGATGGATGTGAGCAGAAGGAAGAGGAAGATTTGGCAAGACAGGGTTGGAGAGTGGGAAGGAGCAGCGGGGTTGAGAAGTGGAAGTCAGAACGTTGGATTTCTGCCCTGGAGGTGTCCAAGTGAGTCTAGGGCTCCCTCAGTCTCTTCCCAGTGCCCCTCCTGCTTTCCTCGTCCTAGGGTTGGGCTAGCCATCATGAGGAGGGTGGGCGACTTTTAAGGGGGCCATCACCCACTCTGGGAAGCTAGAAGCAGGAGGGCAACTGCCCTGCTTGCTGAAGGCTAATCACTCCGACCCAATGGCCAAGGTGAAGTGGACAGGGGTTAGACTAGTTCCTGGGGACTAGAGAGAAAAGGATTTCCAAACCATCCAGAGGAGCTGCTGGGCTAACGTCTCTGGAGCCCTCCAGGGGTCCATCTGGGGATGAGGGTCCTCAGGGCAACAGAAGGATAAGGCAACAGAAATCAAGAAGCCCTGAAAAATCTGGGGTCTAAAATCACAGAACCCTATGCCCAAGTAGCCCTCCACTCCTGCCTTCCATCCTGAGTACTCTCTGAAGTCAGCTAGGCATCACTGTTTTTTGTTTTTTGTGTTTTTTTTTTTTTTTTTTTACATTACTTCAAACTGAGGTGTTTGGCCCCAGGATCTGCAGGGCTCTAAGAAGTAGCTTATGAGAGCACAGGCAGCGCCAGCCTCCTCCTCTCTGCTTGGGCGTATGTAGCCCCCTTTATAAAGTGCCTGGCTGATGAGCAGGGCTCCAACTTTTATCATAGGATGTAAAACGATGTAAAACTCTCCTTTTGAATCCCCATCTCCAAGCATGCCAAGATGACGCTGAGATGCCAGGGAATCTGAAAATTTCCCAGTCACCTCCCGGATGAGCGGAGCCAATGACTGTCCCCTGCCCAGACAGAGACCTCTGCCCATACTCAGGTAGAGAGGCCCTCCCTAGGCAGGTCCCTACAAACTGAGCACAAAGGCAGGACTCCTGGCACTGGAGTCAAGAGTGTGGGCGCCCTGAGCCAAGCACTGTCCTAGACTGTCTTTGCCGGGTCTTTACGGTTGTTGCCAGGGCCTGGTTCTGGAAGCAGACTCAGGGTGGTCTGGGGGTACACCAAAGCCTCAGCTTTGGAGGGAAGCAGCTTGAAGGGCTTTCTGCCAGTCATGGAGAGCCACAAGGCCTGCCCCAGCCGAGGGGTCCTGCATCTACATTCATCCACGTGGGGCATCTGGATGAATACTAGCTCCCATGTGCTGACCCACCTGCCTGCGCCCTTGGAGCAGGAAAGAAGGGCCTGAGCTGAGGACAGGTGGGGCCACCTGAAGTGGGGGAGAACCCTGCCCTGGACAGGAGAAGTGGAGAGAGAACCCACTGGGATTTAGGTACCACAGAGAAAAGCAGTCAGGAGCTGCGGGCCAGACATGGGGCCAGCCTTAAGAACCTGGGAAGGCTCTTCCACCTCCCCATGTTTCTGCCAGTTTCCCAGCCCTGCCTTGCCATGTTGGCAGCAAAATTCTTGAGAGGAAAAGGGCTGTGTACTTGTTTGATGTTGTAAAGACAGGAAGGCTGGGAGAAACTCTCTTTCATTCTCCCAACAAACCCTTCAGGGAGCCCAAGGATGAAGGTGGGTGAGGTAGATTTAAAAACAAAGACAGACACAATCTTCAGAGTGGGGAGGAAGAGAAGATGGGTCCTACTTTGGGTCTTATTTGGACATGTATTATGTCAGATGGCCATTTCCAGACGACATGGCTCCAGCCATAGCTAGGGCTGAGCTTTGCTACAGGCGGTCATGGTTGGGGGTGGGGGGGCCCACAGGAGGTCACCTGACCCCAGGGAAGCCGCTCACAGGCTGGTGAATGGCAGGGTCCCATCAGACACTTGGGTAGGTGGGTCTGGAGAGTGCCCAGAAATCTTCAAGAACAGAACGAGACGGAAGAGAGGAGGAAAGACAGGGAGCAGTACATTTCCTGGGAAGCAGAAGCAGAAGCCTGTGGAATAGCACAGACCGCTTGGGGCCCTGGTCAGTGGGGCAGCCTTATCAATTCAAAATGGTATATTCTTTTTCTTAAAGAGGGTCCCCCAAATTGCATCAGCTTCAGGTCCCACAAAGCCTGAGTGCACTCTGGAGACAGAATAGCGGGGAGAGAGAGAGAAGCCCACCTTCAGGCCACCTCATTCCCGAGGCCCTCTCCAGTTCTCACCCCTGCACTGTTATAATGAAGGGCAGCTTTCCCAGGGTCATCTCAGTGAGTGTCAACTCCTGTGACCGAAATAGCCTGAGCCAGCACCAGGGTCTGGTGATGAGACAAGCTTTCGCTTTCAGTGGGAAGCCTCAACCTGCTTCTCCCGGGAGCGACACCAAAACAGGACCCTTGGTCTGAGAGCTGGTTCATCCAGGTAGAAGGCCCTGGCACAGACTGGGTGTTGGTGCTGTCCTTAGAGAGGGTTGCTGCAGATACCTGGCACAGGTGCTCCCTGCCAGAGCTGCACCCCAGCTCCAGTGTCTGGAGTCCCCATGCAGCCCAGGCTGGCCCAGGTCCAAACTTACCTCTACTCCAGGGGTTAAAAAGCAATGTGAACCGGCCCAAGAGGCGTGGCTTCCTGCCTGAGACCTGCAGCAGAAGCGAGTAGCGGCCAATGACAGCATCCGCGGGTGTGGTCACAGAGACGGTCCAGGACTGGGCATCTCTCTCCTCCACCGCTGCACTCCACGACTTTCGGTCCCCCAGACTGGACACTGGGAATGTGGCTTGGGTCCTGTTGACCTTGGAAGGCTGCTCTCCTGCAGTCACACAGTGACGAATCTGTCATTGGGACTTCTTGGTCACAACTCAGAGTAATAAGGTCAGGGTATTTCAAAGATGGAGGAGGTGAAAGTTGTTTTTGGAGGATAATGAAAGTGACCCGTCTAGAAATGAGACCCATCAAGAAAGAGTGATAGGGGAGCACAGGTTTTTGGCACCCATGGACCTGCATCATAGTCTCTAAAATGGGCATCTTCATAGCACCTGCTTCATGGCCCATAGGAGAACTGAACGAACTGTTGTGTGTGAAGTACTTGGCCCAACACCTGACAGGTAGTATGGATTCAATAAACACTGGCAATTAAATGTTATATTTAGCCTGGGTTCGATTCCATCCAGAATTTTCTTTTCTTTCTTTCTTTTTTTTTTTCTTGAGACAGAGTTTTGCTCTTGTCGCCCAGGCTGGAGTGCAGTGGCACTATCTCGGCTCATTGCAACCTCCACCTCCTGGGTACAAGTGATTCTCCTGCCTCAGCCTCCCAAATAGCTGGGATTACAGGCACCCGCCACCATGCCTGGCTAATGTTTTGTATTTTTAGTAGAAACGGGGCTTCACCATGTTGGTCAGGCTGGTCTTGAACTCCTGACCTCAGGTGATCCACCCACCTCGGTCTCCCAAAGTTCTGGGATTACAGGTGTGAGCCACTGCGCCCTGCCCCATCCAGAATTTTCTACAAAGCTACTATTATATTTGCAACCGAAAAGAAGCCCTTGGTGATGCTGCTGCTAGGCAGCTTCTGACTCATCATAAACAATATTTACCAGGCACATAATCTCATGGCACCCTCATGACTGCCCTGCCAGGTGGGCAGGACTTCTTACAGCCCAGCTGCAGTGTGGGCCATTTGCCCCTTGATTCCCTAACAGGTTGCTGGAGAGAAACCCCCAGACCTGCTGCCAGGAGTCTAGGCCTGTCTCACTAACCAGTTTGTGCAATGAGGGCCACCTTCTTCAGGGCAGGCAGAAATGCGTGGACTGGAGCGCGGAAGTGCAGGATGATGGTGAAGGGCTGCCCCCTCCTCACAACGAGGTGCCGGGAGCTGAAGGCCTTGGTGTGGTGCTCCTCATTGTTTCTTGCTGCCTGAAAGTCGCAGCTCTTGATACCCAGGGCTGTTGTGGGAAAGAGAGAAGTCATGGAAACTAAGTAAATGTGACAATATAAGTACAAGCAGAGACTCTGGAGTCAGAGAGACCAGGGTTCAAATCCTCGGCTCCACTTACGTTTTAGCTGCACAATCCCAGGCAAGTAACTTAACTACCCTGAGCCTCAGTTTCCTTTTCCTTAGAATAATCATCCCTCCTTTCATAGTTGTGGGGATTAGATGATGTATAATACATTTAGCACAGTGTCAGCTACACAGTAAGTCCCAATAAATGAAACTGCTGTTGTTGTTACTATTATTCATAAATGTAATGCTTATTCTCATTGTTGGCCTCCTTTTTCTGGTCCCAATCCACAAGCAATGAATAAAACCCAAAACCTTTCTCACCCCTACTCATTTTTTCTTAGAGCACAATCAGTTAATTTTTAGAGCTGGTTTTGAGATCACTGAGTCCAATTCTCTTGTTTTATAGATGAGGAGAGTGAGGCTGAGTGTGGAACTGACTCACCCGAGACTGTGCATGGTGGCTTTTTGACCTAAAGTCTTACTATAAACTCACAGCACTATGCAGCCCAGAAAAACCCTTCACGTAGGTGGTTCAAGAGTATTATGACAGTCTGTTAATCAATTCTCATTTAACAGAGGTGATATGGTTTGGCTTTGTGTCGCAGCCCAAATATTAGGTCGAATTGTAATCCCCAGTGTTAGAGGAGGGGCCTGGTGGGAAGTGATTGGATCACGGGGGCAGTTTCTAGCAGTTTAGCACCATCCCCTTAGTGCTGCTTGTTTAAAAGTGTGTAGCACCTCCTCCTTCACTCTATCTCTCTCCCACTGACCATGTGAAGATGTGCTTGCTTCCCCTTCTGCCATGATTGTAAGTTTCCTGAGGCCTCCCCAGGAGCAGAAGCTTATACAGCCCACAGAACCATGAGCTGGTTAAACTTACTTTCTTCACAAATTACCCCATCTCAGGTATGTCTTTATAGCGGTGTGAGAATGGACTAATACAAGAGGGAAGAAAAAAACAAGGAGTAAATAAGTCAAAAGATATGTTCAGCAAGCCCAAGATAAGGAACAATGCTGGAAAAAAAATTTTAGGTTTTTTTCTTGCAGCAAAGGAATTGTGCACTTTTTGTTCCTTTGATGGCAGAAGGCCACTGGGAATCTCCTTGGTCTGAAAGGCAGCCTGCAGTGTTTTGTACTGGCTCAGCTGCCACAAGAGAGAAACTATGGCTTTTGCTTGCAGGTATGAAATGAGGTCTAACCCACTTCAGGGAAGTGATATGACCCTGATGGCAATGTCCTTTAGACTACAAGACATATCTTGTCAAATTCAGGATACTGCTACTTCAAATTTCCCCCATTTCCCAGTCTCTCTGCCTTAGAGGTGAGGAGTAGAGGGGGAGGATGTTCTACTTTTTCTTTCACTAGTGATGGGATGATAGAAGATGCCAATGATGTCTATTTAGGGCAAAAGAACTGACATCGTTGAATATGAAGAAATGTTAAAGCGTGCAGAGGAGGGAAGAAACCTCTCTGTGTCTGGTCCTGGTGTCCCTGGGTGCCCCTTGCATCCCTGTATCCCCCTCCTCCACTTGGCTTGGTCAGGCCATGGCTATAGATAAAGTAGCCACAGGGAGGCTGGGATTTGTAAATTGAAGTACAGCAGCACTCAGAAACCAACAATGATTCCTCTTTCTGCTTAGCACAAAGCTTGTGCTGAGGCCCAGGATAAGCCCTGCCTCTGCAGACTGGTTGAGTTGGATTGGATGGTGGAATGCCTTAGTCACATCCTAAGTCATATGACTCGAGCCTCAGTGTATCTGAACCCAAGTAATGACCATAGTGTTATGGCAAGAGTCACCAGAATTCATTTGGATTCCGGTTCTGTCTGGAAGGCTCCCACCATCTCTTCTCTACCTGGCAGATGTCTACTTATCTTCCAAGATCCAAAGACACCCACCTCTGTAGCCTTCACTGACTCCTCCTGGAAGAGGTCAGTCCTCTGGGCTCCCACAGTACTCTGCTCCACTTTCTTCAGCACTTATCCCATTTGATACCCATCACCTGCCTAGCCCTCTGCTCCCGCTTTCACTGGGGGGAGCTCCCTGAGGTACAGTGCTTTCTCCTATCTGCATCCTCTGCCCCAGCAGAACTTAATAGATAGCCAATCAGTGTTTGCTCTGTCAATGAATGGATGAGAACATTAGGACAGCCTTAAAGGAGATTTTCTCAGATGCATCACAGGGGCCTCAGGCGCCCACCTGTGCCGCAGACCCTCGCAGGGCCCCTGAGGTTTCTGCATTCTTTAGGTCTGCCTGGTTTCTTGGTTTGTCTCTGCCTCTGCCCCTTTTAGGTGGATTCATTGGCTCCTACCTCCCCTTCTCTCCCACTGGGTCTTGAGGCAATGACACCTTCGTGTTTTCCCAGCATCTCCTATTTGTACCACAGACCATGAGAAGTTGCGTTAACACAGAGACCATGTGGAATGCTCTTCAGAGGTGCACAGTACCCCACCCTCCTCCCTCTCTGCCTTTCACAACACCCCAGCGCTGCCGCACATGTGCCCCTCAAGCAGTGATGTGTTTAACGACTGGCTGGGGGAAAGGGGTGGTGAGGGGAAAGGGCGTACTGAGTTACAGCATTTGCCAAGTTCTGTGGTGTAAAATACTCCCTCTGTGGCCAGTTTGAAGCTACTGAGGTGAAGTCAGCAAGCGCAGAACTGTGAAGAGGCGCGGACTGGCACATCATCATGTGGTTTTTCCAGCACAGAGGTACAGGAGACGTAAACACCCTCAAGAACATAAAGGTAAAAAGGAGTAAAATATGTAGGAGGTGATGAGTTTAGAGTACTTACTATCTTTCTTTTTAATATAAATTTTTTACTTGTAAGTTTATACAGTTTAATTTTTAATAATGCCTCTGTTTAAGAACTGGTTCACAGGATTCCTGAAAATTTAGCAATTGCCTCTTGCAAGTCAGCACAAGCCAGCTGCAGCCACTGGGGCACGCCATGAGCTCATACTCAGTGATTCTCATCTGGTGGCTACTGGGCCCTCTGCCACCCACTGCCTGGAAAGAATTTAGTGCCCAGGGGCATCCTCTGGTTTGGGACTAAACAATCTCCTGATATCTTTGAATGTGTTTCTCTGATTGAGGTGGTTTTTAATTTGTCTGGTCTCTAAGAACAAAAAGAACGATTTGGCTGAGTGCAGTAGCTCACGCCTGTAATCCCAGCACTTTGGGAGGCTGAGGCGGGTGGATCACGAGGTCAAGAGATCGAGACCATCCTGGCCAATAAAGTGAAACCCCGTCTCTACTAAAAATACAAAAAATAAGCTAGGCGTGGTGTTGGACGCCTGTAATCCCAGCTACTCGGGAGGCTGAGGCAAGAGAATCACTTGAACCCCGGAGGCGGAGGTTGCAGTGAGCCGAGACTGCGCCACTGCACTCCAGCCTGGTGACAGAGACTCCGTCTGAAAAAAAAGGACAATTTATTGGTGTCTGCCCTATTTTCACAAGACGTGGCTGAGATGATTTACTGAATTCACCCAGAATTCTTTTATTTCCCTCTCAGGTGTTGGTCTCAGGGTCAGTTGCCCTCCGCACGCCAGACTGGCCGACCAGGGTGGGGAGTGAGGCAGTTTCTATAGAAACAGAACCACAGCTGCCTCCCATTGTCCCCACACCCCTGCACCACTTCCCTCTGCCTACCCGCTTGCTTCTCCCTGGACACAAAACAGCCAGGCAATTCTCAGGCCAGGAGATAATAATTCCTGCCAAGACGCTGCGACTCTGACCACCTCTGTTGGTTTCTTGCTTTGTGTCTGCCTCCTGCCCCTTTTAGGTGGATTCCCTGACTCCCACCTCTCCTTCTCTCCCATTTGTTGTAGAAGCTGTGACACCTTCATGCTACCCAGGGTGTTTCTCATTTGTATCACAGGGTGTCTCTCATTTGTATCAGTAAGCTGTGAACACTTATGCTATGATGACCTTGGGATAAGAATATAAACCCATGTTAACCACCATCACCATCTCACCATCATCATACAGCTATCATGACCAGTTTACCCCAACATCCTACCCCATAACCACCCCATAGCAACATCACCATCACCTCCGCCTCCACCAGCACCCACCATCACACCACGCTCCACAGCCACCCCACCATCAGCTCCGCCTCCACCAGCACCCACCATCACACCACGCTCCACAGCCACCCCACCATCGCCTCCACCAGCACCCACCATCACACCACGCTCCACAGCCACCCCACCATCGCCTCCACCAGCACCCACCATCACACCACGCTCCACAGCCATCCCACCATCACCTCCGCCTCCACCAGCACCCACCATCACACCACGCTCCACAGCCATCCCACCATCAGCTCCGCCTCCACCAGCACCCACCATCACACCACGCTCCACAGCCATCCCACCATCGCCTCCACCAGCACCCACCATCACACCACGCTCCACAGCCACCCCACCATCGCCTCCACCAGCACCCACCATCACACCACGCTCCACAGCCACCCCACCATCACCTCCGCCTCCACCAGCACCCACCATCACACCACGCTCCACAGCCACCCCACCATCGCCTCCGCCTCCACCAGCACCCACCATCACACCACGCTCTACAGGCAGCTCACTATCACCAGTACCCCCTCCCCTGCCGTGGTTATACCACCACCTCCCCGCCCACCATCCATCCCACTTCCTTTAATGAAAACAGGTGATGCTGCAGGGGCTGCATACAGTCCAGCAAGCCCTGCGAAGCGCTGGCTTGGCTCACCCTGTCCCATGGCTGCAGGCCGCTCCTCTTATCCACTAGGCTGCAGAAAGCACCTGTGTTGAACTGTTGCTTCTGGGCTCCTTCTGGGCTTTCTGTCTTTCAGACAAAAAATGATGAAGGCACTTTTGTTGGCTTAAGAATCTGGAAAGAGCAAAACTTCCCCCCAGCTACTCCTGTGAGCACCCTGACATGTTCCTTCTCTCCTGCTCCCTCCCTGCTGGTATCTGCTGGACCAGTTGCTGGGAGTAGCCCTGTTCATTTTATCTCTTGTGCCAGGAGGCCCAGGCAGGGATATGCCTGGCAGCCCTGAGGGAGGGGGCAGGATGGAGAAGTCCTGCCAACTGGAGAAGCCTAGAACAAACCTTGAAGCCTCTTGCTTCAGTGGCCTCAAGAGACTCTCAGAGATGTTATCTGGACTGCACTAGAAGATTCTGGAAGACAGGAGGCCACAAACAGGAGTCCCATATCCAACTCCAAATCTCAGGCCCTAAACATGACAGGAGCTGCAAGTTGCAAGATGTTCATGGGCTGTTTTGATAATAGAGAGAACACGTGTGTCTGGAATTTATCTGTGTGAAAGAGATAAGGAAGTAGAATTTGTTGGTGAAAAATAAATGTCTTAAAAGTAGAAGCTGGGGCCCCAACTCTTCCAAGCCTACCTGGTCTGGGACCCTCTACCAGAGAAGGCTGGGAACTATCTTGGAACTCAGGCCCTATGTCTTTTCAATTTTTCCTTCTTTAGTTCCTGAAGAGACAAGACAAGGATCTCATATTTGGCCTTACCTGGGCTTGTAAAACTGTGTTACCAGAAGCACTCTCAGGGCAGCTGTACTTGCTGCATATACCTGAGATGTCTATAGAATGATATAAAACACATGGCAAAAAATATTGGTTGCCTGTGGGGAGGGGATCTGGGCAGTGGGGTAGAAAGGTCTGACAACATTTTGAGTTGGCGACGATTTAGGAAAATAGTTACTCTCTTCTAATACTAGTGGAAGTGCAAATTTAAATTGGTGCAGCCTTGGCTGGGCGCAGTGGCTCATGCCTGTAATCCCAGCACTTTGGGATGTGGGTGAATCACTTGAGGTCAGGAGTTCGAAACCAGCCAGGCCAACATGGTGAAACCCAGTCTCTACTAAAAATACAATAATTAGCCAGACATGGTGGTGTGCACCTGTAATCTCAGTTACTCAGAAGACTGAGACATGAGAATCGCTTGAACCTGGTGGGTGGAGGTTGCAGTTAACCAAGATCATGCCACTGCATTCCAGCTTTGACAACAGAGCAAGACTTTGTCTCAAAAAAATAGAAATAAATAAATAATAAATTGCTGCAGCCTCTCCAAATTGGTGCAGCCTCTATGGACAGCGTTGGTCAGACTGGGTGGCTTAAACAACAGATATTTATGTTCTCACCCTTCTGTAGGATGGAAGTTCAAGATCAGGGCCTTTACGCTTGGTGTCTGGTGAAGGCTGTCTTCCTCACACGCCCTCTTCTCTGTGTCCACGCGGAAGGAGAAAGATCTCTGGTGTTTTTTCCTTTTCCTCTTCTTATAAGGACATCATTCCTATTGGACTGAAGCCCATTCTTATGACCCCACTTCACCTTTATTACCTTCCTGTAGGTCCCATTTCCAAATACTGTCACACTGGGGGCTAGTGCTTCAACATATGAATTTTTGGGGAGGACACAATTCAGTCCAGAACAGAGGGAAATTAAGTAGTTTGTACCAAAACTTTAAATGTCTATACTTTTTGCTGCTCTGCCTATGGATTATCCATTCTTTATTCCTTTACTTTCTTAATAAACTTGCTCTCACTTAAAAAAAAGTCTGTACTTTTGCTTCATCCATTCTACTTCTAGGTATTTATCATACAAATGATCAAACAGGTGTAAAATAAGATTTATACAAATATATTCAAAGCGCTGAAGACTAGAAACTACCTAAACATCCATGCATAAGGTATTGGGTAGATAAATTATGGGACATGCATTCAATAAAATACATAAAGGTGAAAAAGAATGAAGTAACTCTATGTAAAAGGATATGGAACAATCTCCAAGTTTGATTTGTTTGTTTGTTCATTTGTTTTGAGACAGAGTCTTGCTCTGTCACCCAGGCTGGAGTGCAGTAGTGCAATCATGGCTCACTGCAGCCTCAACCTCCTGGCCTCAAGTGATCCTCCCACTTCAGCCTCCAGAGTAGCTGGGACTATAGGCACGTGCCACCTACGTCTGGCTAATTTTTTATTTTTTGTAGAGATGGGATCCCACTATGTTTCCCAGGCTGGTCCTGAACTCTGGGGCTCAAGTGATCCCCCAGCCTTGGCCTCCCAAAGTGTTGGGATTACAGGCATGAGCCACCGTGCCCAGCCCAGGCTGTATTGTTAAGTGGAATAAGTGAGGTAGAGAACGAACAGTGTGAATAGTATGCTATCTTTGTGTAAAGGGTATGTGTGTGGGGGGAGAATATGTATGAATTTGCTTTTGTTTATATAGACTATTTCTAGAAAATTATCGCTTCTAGATAGAGAAACTCAGTGCCTAGGGACAAGGCTTTTTTCTATATACACTTTGCATCTTTGTGCCCTGAACATACATTTATATGTTAATGTTTTTAAAGTAACAAAAACTGTCAGGGGAAAGAAAAGTCTGGCTGAAAGAACTGTTTTCACCACAGAGAACCCTTCACCTGGGAGGGCAATGAGAGAGTTGTGGGCTGGTCTCCCTTTGGGGAATGTGTTCATCTTCTGGTACTAGCAAAGAGAATCTTCTCTTTCCTGGCACAGTTCCCATGAGAGCTCCACAGAGATCCAGTCTCTGGCAGTATTTCAGTCGGGGCACTTTTTGAGGAGCCCATGATGAGACAGATGCTGCTGCATTTGGGTTGGGCTGGGGAAAAGCGAGTGGGAGATGTAAGGAGGATGAAGGGAGGGGGTGACCAGAAAGGTCTGTCCCACGGCACCCACACCTTTCTACTCTCCAGCCTCTGGCAGAAAAACAACCCCTTAGCTGATATGGACTCAAGAAGGATCTGTTTATTTATTTGTGAAACAAATACTTACAGAGCACTGTCATGCACCAGGAACTGTGTTAGGTACCGGTAGGTGCCGCCGGGAACCGCGCTAGGTGCCGGCAGGTGCCGCCGGGAACCGCGCTAGGTGCCGGCAGGTGCCGTCGGGAACTGTGTTACGTGCCGGCAGGTGCTGTCGGGAACTGTTAGGAACCGGGTTAAGTACAGCAGTAAATTAGATAGACGCGTCCCTGCCACCGAGGAGCTTCTATTCCAGCAGGGGGAGACAAACAATACTAAGCGTATACGTCATTAGCTATTTCTCTGTAGTGTGCTAAATGCTGTAAAAGAGAAGTTTGAGTGCTCTCGGACCTAGGTGTGGAAGGTCAGGGTAGGCTTCTCTTAGAAGGTGATATTTAAGCTGAGAAACTGGGAGGATAAACAGGAGTTAACTAGGTAATAGGACAAGGGTTGGCGCCAGAGGAGAGAGAAAACAGCACGTGCACAGGCTCTAAGGCAGGAAGCAACAGAAAGCAGGTCAGTGGGCCTGCATCACAGAGAAAGATGGGGAGAGGTAAGGCAAGGACTAAATCTTGCAGAGTTGAGCTGAGAATTTTGGATTTTATCCTCAGAGCAGTGAGAAGCCATTGAATGATATTTGAAGCAAGGGAGTAACACAATCAGATTTGCATTTTTAAAATACTGGCTAATATGGCGGAAATGATTTAGAGGGGGCAAAAAGGGAAGAGAGATGACAAATAAGAGACTAGAGTAATGGCTCAGGTGAAAGATTATGGTGGTGTACTCCGGGGGGTGTTAGTAAAGATAGACATAGGCTGGTCATGGTGGCTCACACCTGTAATCCCAGCAATTTGGGAGGCCAAGACAGCAGATCACCTGAAGTCAGGAGTTCGAGACCAGCCTGGCCAACACAGTGAAACCCCATCTCTACTAAAAATACAAAAATTAGCTGGGTGTGGTGGCCCGTGCCTGTAATCCCAGCTACTCAGGAGGCTGAGGCAGGAGAATTGCTTGAACCTAGAAGGTGGAGGTTGCAGTGAACCAAGATCACGCCACTGCACTCCAGCCTGGGCCACAGAGTAAGACTCCATCTCAATACAAAAAAAAAAAAAAAAGAAGATAGACATGGACAGATTTGACGGAGATGTAGGTTAAATGGCTATGACGTGCTAATGGACAGAATATCAGGTGGAGGGCAGAGAAGAAAAGATATTCAACATGACTCCCAGGTGCAAATAAGTTAATTATGCTGGCACATTGCTTTACAAAGCACTTTTGCATACATTATCTTGTATGATCTGAACCTCAATCTTGTAAACTACAATAAGGGATCATTATTCCAATTTTACTGATGAGAAAATAGGTTCAGAGAGTTAACATTTATTTTAGTGAATGTTAGATCAATTAATATGCTGCCTCATTCCAGAAAGAATTTAAGACTAACAACGAAATATGGTATTGCAGAAGAGCACATTAAAATGATGCAAATGATGAAAGAACAAAGAAGGTGCCCAAACAGAGCCAAGGACAAGGCTAAAAGTGCACACTATAGCCTACCTTTGTGTTCCACACACAAGAAACTTACCTCTAAGCTCCAGAAGGGAGGGTTTCCCAACATCTCACAGCTTATCGTAAAGCCTAGACTCCAACTGAGGTCTTCCAACTCATACCCCACACATTTGATTTCACATTAGCCTTGATCCAAGCCACCGCTGAGAAGGTCTCTCTATTCAGCCTTCTTTTAAAATCTCTCAAGAATTTCTGTATCTAAATACAGCAGACTAGCTTGTTACCATCCTCTCTATTGGGAACAATTAGAAAAGTTGAATGAAATGTTTAAAATATCTCTTTGAAGGCATCAAGGCAGTGAGGACTTGAGGGATCAAGATCTTGGGGAGAAGAAGAGCAGAGAGTGAACTTGACACTGGCTGCCACTCTTCCATCTGGGGCATTTGCCCATTCGTACGTCATTGGCAGATAAGAGCCTGAGAATCTGGCAGGCTAGCAGGGTTTGAGTTTGAGGGTCATCAAGGATAAGGGGCCCCAATAAACACCCCAGGCTTTCTGTTGGGACCTCAGAAGGGCTATGCCCCAGGAGTTGAGGTAAGTAGGAAATAGACTAATCCTTATGAAAGGCCAAAGTCGGCCGGGCGCGGTGGCTCACACCTGTAATCCCGGTACT